TTAGAAGAATGTGGTATAATTGTCACGATGAATACTTGGTAAAAGAAGGGTATGTTAACAATCCTACATACTCATGTATGTTCAGAAATAAATCAAAGTATAGATTTACTATCATTGCAATATAATCTGATTGGAACGTCGAACGTGTTAATGAAGCTATTGAATATTTGAAAAAGAAATTTGAGTTGCATGATCTAGAGAAAACACAGTATTGTCTCAACTAGCAAATTAAGCATATGTCAAATATAATCCCTATTCATCAAACAAACCCTACCAAAAAAGTTCTAAATTGGTTTACCATGGACAAAGCATATCCATTAAGTACTCAAATGGTAATCAAATCCCTTGATATCAACAAGGATCCCTTTTCATCCTAAAGAGGATTATGGAATACTTCTTAGTCGTGAAGTATCACATGTAAATGCAATAGGTGCTTTGTTATACTTAGCATAATGCACTAGCCTTAATATCGTACTTGTAGTCAACTTATTGGCAAGATTTTGTTTTTCGCCATCTTGACACGTTAGAATGACATAAAACATATCTTACGCTACCATTGTGGAACTACGAATTTGGGATTGTTATACTCAAAACAATCAGACAATGATCCACATTTAATAGGATATGCAGATTCTGGATATTTATTAGATCCTCGCAAGGCTCATTCACATAATGGGTATTTGTCACATTTGGTGACACAACAATCTCACGATCTACCAAACATACTTTGATTGTTGTATCCTCCAATCATTCTAAGATACTTGAACTCTACGAAGTGAGCCGTAAATGTTTATGACTATGTTCTGTAGTCCATGATATTCGAGATACTTGTAGAAACTTTAATTATAGACTCATCAACAATGTTATATGAAGCTAACATTACTTGTATTTCACAAATCAAATGAGAGTTTCTCATATATGACATAACCAAAAATATTTTACCAAAATTTTTCTATACTTATGAACTCCACTAGAGTCATGAAATTTGAAGTAAAATAGATACAATCTAGTGATAAACTTGTAGATGTATTCACTATAGTTTTACCATCCTCAACATTCAATTAATTGATATGTGACATCAAAATTTCTCGGCTTTGTGATCAGCCTAGTTAATTTCTTGTTAGGGGAAGAATTTCATTAGGGAGAGCATCCATACCAAGATAAAGGACAATTTGCACAATATACTCTTTTTCGTTCAATGGGTAGAGGTTAAAAACTAATGGACTAACCTCTTTAATGTTGTATTTAATGACTATTTATGTTTGAGGGCCGATAAAAGGAGGTGTTGGCTACATTGAGAAATACGCAAGCTTGAGAAGATTAAATCTCTATAATCCTTTGTTTTTCTTATTTTTATCTCTATATTCTCATGTCTTGGACTCTTTATATTTCATTTGAATAATAGAAATAATTAAAAAGTGAAGCGATAGAAATAGGAAGTATGTATAAAATAACATTTTGGTTAGGAGGAAAATGTGGATACTTTTAACCCACTAAAATCTATTTCTCAAAAGTGGGGTGAAAAATTTATGTAAAGATAGTTTAGCATTAAAAAATGTAAGGTATTAACATTTATACTACTAGTCGATCCACGCGAGCTTTGCATGCGGATATTTTCAAAGTTAGTTATCAGACTTGAGAAATACTATGCGTCATTTTTAGCATAATTTTTTTTACCTCTAATAAAGCTCAAAATTAAAACTTCTCTCAATTTTGACACATGCATTGACACAACTAATCAAATATTTAAGTCATTTACTCTTAATACAATATCTCATCTCGATAGCATATCTTAAGTATAGTTCTTTGTTTAATATACATGGATCACCAAAATAAGGCTCCACCTTTTTGCTTAGAGATAGTTTTGGGAATTTTTCAATCAGCTAACCATGAGAAAAATGTTTTTTGTCCACCCAAAAAAATGCTAAAACATTATTTGCAAAACAAATCAAATAGTGAAATTAAATCCGCAAACTATATGATTGAAAAATTCACAATCTAGGTCATCTGATGTAGATAGTGAAAAGTATCCGCAACAACATGAAATTTGGAAAACCATTGATGCAAATTTTTCTCATACAAAAAATATTTTTTAAATATCCAATTAATTCACAAGTTAGCTTGATTTGTACAAATAATTTACATATCCAAAACAACAACCAATCAAAAAGTGTAACTCATTATACATAACTCCCACTGTTGTGATGTCTAAGTAGCATATCATATAAAGTTTTTATAGGTACAAAATCCCAAGGGTATTAGATAATTAAAGTATCTTATTTAAGTATTAACTTTTCATCTAGTTATTTTCACCCAAAACTAACATATAGGAAAAAACCCAAAAATCAAGATCAATATAGTTCACCCAGAAACTCAACGTGTAGTGTATTAAAAAAAAATTAGAACAGTATTGGTTCAATGTTGTGACCAACTTTCGCTTAGTTTTCATCTTCAAGTGTATCAATCCTTCCTTATTCATATGTTATATGTACTTGTAAATGAAACAAATCAAAGAAACATAAATCAACCATTTATTATTTTAAAAAGGTTTCATTAATAACATCAAACTCAAAGACTGGTTTGTTCCATATTATACTTAGTGGTAGTGTACATATGATAAAAAAAAATAAAAACGTATGATATTTTGAACTGCACAACCAAATCAATGCACTCATCCACACTACACCATGCAAGAATATGCCTAACCCAAGGCCAGAATCAACAATGACAAGAATTACATCCAAGCACTAATTTTTAGGGTCAAGATAAATATATAGGAATTTCAATTCCCCCAAAGCCTCACAAACTTACCAAAAACTTAACAATTTTGTATCGAAAAAATAAAGTGGTTTATTGATCAAAATTATATAATCACCTCTAAGGGATGGTTATGTTAAATTAAATACTCAATACAACAAGCAACACCATGTCTATGTAGAATTACAAATGAGGAGTATATCATGAAAATGGAATACAACTTACCTCTGAGGTGGAATGTAAGGGTTTTATTTTAATTCAATTTGGTAACATCCTCAGGCTTTCTATCAAAAAAGTCAACAAAATCTGGGTGGAAAACAATAAAAATAGTTTATCATGATTATCCATTAAATGCATTGGCATGAGATTCTTTAGTGGATATAAATTATATATGCATATATTTATCATTACGTCAATATATAGCGAGAATAATAGGAGGGGAAGAATAAAGATGGAGAAGTGAAAAAACACCTCTCAAGAAGGGGGATGAAGCTGAAAAGTAGCCAGTGAGGAAATAAAAATGACAACAATAAAAGGTGGTGTATCTTGATAAATTAAATCGAACATATTTTTTGGGGGTAATAAATAAGCTGTATTNTATTTTTTAAATATCCAATTAATTCACAAGTTAGCTTGATTTGTACAAATAATTTACATATCCAAAACAACAACCAATCAAAAAGTGTAACTCATTATACATAACTCCCACTGTTGTGATGTCTAAGTAGCATATCATATAAAGTTTTTATAGGTACAAAATCCCAAGGGTATTAGATAATTAAAGTATCTTATTTAAGTATTAACTTTTCATCTAGTTATTTTCACCCAAAACTAACATATAGGAAAAAACCCAAAAATCAAGATCAATATAGTTCACCCAGAAACTCAACGTGTAGTGTATTAAAAAAAAATTAGAACAGTATTGGTTCAATGTTGTGACCAACTTTCGCTTAGTTTTCATCTTCAAGTGTATCAATCCTTCCTTATTCATATGTTATATGTACTTGTAAATGAAACAAATCAAAGAAACATAAATCAACCATTTATTATTTTAAAAAGGTTTCATTAATAACATCAAACTCAAAGACTGGTTTGTTCCATATTATACTTAGTGGTAGTGTACATATGATAAAAAAAAATAAAAACGTATGATATTTTGAACTGCACAACCAAATCAATGCACTCATCCACACTACACCATGCAAGAATATGCCTAACCCAAGGCCAGAATCAACAATGACAAGAATTACATCCAAGCACTAATTTTTAGGGTCAAGATAAATATATAGGAATTTCAATTCCCCCAAAGCCTCACAAACTTACCAAAAACTTAACAATTTTGTATCGAAAAAATAAAGTGGTTTATTGATCAAAATTATATAATCACCTCTAAGGGATGGTTATGTTAAATTAAATACTCAATACAACAAGCAACACCATGTCTATGTAGAATTACAAATGAGGAGTATATCATGAAAATGGAATACAACTTACCTCTGAGGTGGAATGTAAGGGTTTTATTTTAATTCAATTTGGTAACATCCTCAGGCTTTCTATCAAAAAAGTCAACAAAATCTGGGTGGAAAACAATAAAAATAGTTTATCATGATTATCCATTAAATGCATTGGCATGAGATTCTTTAGTGGATATAAATTATATATGCATATATTTATCATTACGTCAATATATAGCGAGAATAATAGGAGGGGAAGAATAAAGATGGAGAAGTGAAAAAACACCTCTCAAGAAGGGGGATGAAGCTGAAAAGTAGCCAGTGAGGAAATAAAAATGACAACAATAAAAGGTGGTGTATCTTGATAAATTAAATCGAACATATTTTTTGGGGGTAATAAATAAGCTGTATTGAAAAAAACTCTTTTTCTTCTTTCATAGAAGGAACAAAAAGTTCCCCCCCCCCCCTCCTAATGTTAAGCTTGTAGTCATCGCCGTTGTAGATTACTAAAAAATCTAAACTTGAAACTAAAACATGTATTATATATACCAAGGTTATATGTAATCCGAAACTTAGCATTGGATAAAAATTTACTCCTGAAGCATTTTAGTTTATTCTAATAAATTGATGATGCATTGCACCAAAACATGATTGGCTTCACTGTGATTGGTCTCCAACAACAATTGGAGGGAGCCTTTTGAACCAAAGACACTACACCAATGCAAATTGTACTCATCTCTCAAGACTTATGTTAATATTCCAAAACCACCTTGTAAGTAAGTTGAGAATTTAAGGAACGAAAATGACATTGTTACCAGGTGGGGTTCGACAACATAATCTTTGGTCATCTATGTGCTCTGCATCCAATCCAATAAACCAAGATTCCAGTGAAACATCCTCATTAGCATACTTCTGCAACACATGCCTATAATCACCATCACAAGGATAATAAGTTCGAATACATGACCCAAAAAACATATATGAACCGCTTTTCATAAGAGAGACACAGACACATGCACACGCACACGCACACTCTTACTGGTGGATTGATATGTCACTAGCCAAATCTTTTGAAATAGCATATTCTTGCCTTGTAGCATGGTGGAAATAGTTGTTTCCTTCCTCACCAAATTTCCAGTACTCAAGTTCATGATATCTCAATCCACTGTTATCAAAATGCAAGTTAGAAACCAAGAAATAGAAATACATTTCGGTTTCACACACATTGTGTCATCTTTTGGGAAAGAAAGGATCTATTATGGGAGACTAATAGTCCTAATTCATTAGGGCTACTTAATTTAAATTATATACTTAGTTAATTTGTATGAATTTAATTTAAAATTAATATTAGAGGAAAATTGAAGAGGGAAATATGAAAGAGTAGGATATAAGGGACATTATTCTTCTACTAAGGCTATTTATGTCAACCAAAAGTTTTTCACTTTTGTTGACATTTTATAGTAGTAGAGATATAGATTAATATACACATGCATTCTATATATACATATTTGAATGTGTCAATATGATATATAGATATAATGGTAAAATGTGAATTTGTATTTCTTTATTCATTGCACTTTTTCATCCATATAAAATATAAAAAAATTAATACCCCGTACTCTCCATTCCTCTGACCAAACACAAAAGATGGAAGGAAGGTTTCTTTCCTCTTAGAATCGAAAGTATATATAACTCTTATTTTTCTTCCATCTATCCCACTAAACAAACTATAATTTAGGTTGGGACTATTCGCAAAACTCAATGCAGGTTCGAATTCTAACTCAAACTATGGCAAGATTTGAATTTCGATTTGGATGGCCACAAATGTTGTACTATTTAGAAATAAATGAAAAATGGCAATAATACACTAAGTTGACTGTTTTTATGATAAAAAAGAGAAATGATAGAAAAGTGGAAGGATAGAATATAGGAGTCATTGATAAACCACCATATTTGGTTAGGTGGAAAAAGTGGAAGAAAGAAAAAGTGGAGGGATTGGTCTTACTTTCAACCCAATAAACTCTATCCTCCAAAATTGGATGAAATAGTTGAAGTAAAGACAATAATTTATCTTCAAATGTAGGTTATTTGACCTTTACATCCTCAACATGTAAACATATTTTGTTGAAACTATTGAATATTATTGATATTTTAATTTTAGATGTAGATAGAATGCTAAAATTGTGACGCCCCTAAAAACAGGGGGTCCTTTGTCAACCCATTGATCATCCATCAACCGGCAAAAATTTCCATGAAGGCCGCATAACCCGACGCCACGGCACAACATCTCCTTTACCGGGATCACAACAACACAAAGTGTGGGCAGAGTCTTCCTTGTACCGGGCATTCCCAAACACATAACATGTATACCATTCAATCACACTACACATCCAAGTTCCAATATACATCAATTTACTCTCATTTATTGTCCATTTGAATCATTTAAACAAAAGTACCCAAGACCGGAAAGCATAACAAAAGCATTCTTAGAATTTGAAATTTCAAGAAAACCTACCGATAGAAGATGGCAATGTTCTATAAAGTAGGAAAACATTCTAGAAAGGTTCTACTGCAAAACTTGAAGCTCTACCGGTAGGTTTAACCTACGAAAAAAAGTTCTATAGGTAGAAAAACTGTCGTTCTACCGATAGGTCTTACCAATTTTTCTACGATTCTTTCCTTTTTCAATTCAAATCCATTCCAAACTTACACAACATCATACCAAACTCATATAACATCAATTTTAAGTAGAATATAGTTCATATGAGTTCACTTTACAATCATTTACAATATCACATGTCCAAAACTTACTAAATAACATAAATTTTTTTACAAAACATATTTCAAAAACCACATCTTGGATTTTCGTCAACCATGAGGGCCCGATTTAGAGCCGTCCACCGGTGCATATCCCACACCTAAAATGTTGTCCCCGTAAAGGATGAGTCATGTTCAATATGGTATCTCCTGAAAAGGTTACTCTCCAACCTAAGTGCATATGAAATGATTACATATAACATTCAGCAAGCAACAACCATTCCAATAAAGAATATGCAATTCAATGTTGGAAATTACCATGTCATGCCAAGAAATGAGATGAGACTCACTCATGTACTTCAACTCGAGCCTTCACCGACTCTCTCAATACATGCAAATGCCATGTGTATGATCTCTGGGCATTCCAAGCCCCCGCCATTGATGTTGCATGTCCAATGATTATTTTAAATTTCTAGGTCTTTCTTGGGGTAGGTATTTATGGACTTCCACCAACGGTCACCCAACTAACACGACATTTATAGACTTCCACCAACGGCTCTGCGTGCACTGACACACTCTATGGACTTGATACCAACGGAGTGCGTATTCGAAGTAACCAGGCCTTGCACCCGAAGGATTGTTTAGCCCTTCTTGGTAACCCCGATTTAATTTTCAATGCAAGTCATGGGACTCAGTCGGGTCTTGGCCCAATTTTACCGAGCCCACGAATCATTCACCAAGAGTGGCGTTTGATGACAACTATGCACACACACCCACACTCATGCCTAATGCCCATAAATGTTATGCCTTTGTGCATATGTAATGCAATGTACAATTGCAACACTATAATCAAGTTCAATAGGTTATGAGTGTCATATGAACCATATCCACCACATTTCAACATACACCATGACCAATTATATCATAAGCATTTAATTACCATAAATCATATTAATGTCAATACATCACCAAACATATATCAACATCATACCCAACAACAATTTTCAAGCATGTTATCACATAATCTCATGTAAATAATACACTTAATTCTCCAAGGTACAATATAAACACAAAGCATGCCCACATATCATAATTTTCTAAGAAATTACAAACTAGCACTTTTTAAATAACAATTAATGCTAGAATTGATTTTACCCAATTCAAATATCCATTTCATCAATTAACAACAATAGGCAAGTGTTATACACCTCTAACACCCTACCCATTCAATATAATCATACTAGGTTGGAAATAAACACAATTCGGGAGAAAAATCCTACCTCTTGAAGCATAAAACAAAAGTAGAAATCCTTCAAAAACACCAAAGAAGCCTTAGCCTTTGATTTTTCCAAAATTCCATTTTTAAATCTTAAGTGAAATCCATCCTTTTTGGTATGATTTTGTAGCCCTCAACGAGTACAACACACTTTGTTCTTGGCCCGAGGTGATTCAACCAAAGGAGCGGCGTAGATCATAAAGAGAAGGCTTGAAACTCTCTTTTCCCTCTCTTCCTTCTTCTAACGGAAAACTAGCTGAAAATGGGGAGAAATATGATTTTCTCCCCTATTTATACCCCTTGGAATGCTTGGCTCTCATCGCGCCACACATCCTCCATTCCCAGGTCTAATTTTTTTTTTGAAACAATTAAATTTCATTCTGATTCAAGTTCAAAATATTTTTATATAAACTTCCTTTAAAATATTTTTCAAATTTTGAAATTTGATTCCATATCTCTTTTTTAGGTTACGCAACACTCCATCACCTCATAAAACGCAAAAAATTTGATTGTCTCGGATTCAATGAAAATTGACTAGGTAACTAGATTTTGTTAGATGAATTCAACAATGAGGTCTGTTTCGTCATCTGAGCACTAAAAAAATTTGGATTTTCAACCCGTACCGTAGCAACAAATTATCGTTTTTCTCTTTTTCATAATAATTCAAAATTACTGGATTTTACAAAAATATGCTTTTATAATTCAGATGAAAATTTATTTGGGATGAATTTTGTACCATTGAATCCAAGTAAATGAAAATTGGATTAATCTTGATTGTTGTTGCACTTTTCTAATTAGTGATTTGACCTCTTATCTGTAATATTAGATAGATATACCTATAATGAGAAAAATGATCTACAATTATGACTAGAAATTGGAAAAAAAACAAATTGAGGAAATGAAGCAGGAAACAAAATGTAACACCCCAAAACACACCCTGTATGATATTACATTCTAAAACCATTCATATCATGAGAGCACTAATATAATCCCTTAAGAAATAAGACTTCATTTGTCATCCACGAATATTTACAACATTATCCAAAAGAATAAGCCCAAGGCATGACTATTACATCTCAAAAATTAATTAAAGAAGCGCAGCGGAATAAACAAATGAAGCTAGACTACACAATGTTCCAAAAGAATGTCCTAGTCTAGTACAAAAGGAAAGAAGGTCTCTCTAAGCATCCACCTCGGGATCCACACTCCCATCCAGTGGAGTCTCCCAAGTAGCGAGCTCCTCAACCCTTACGTCCTCCTCCTCAAGCATGTAATTTGAAAATGTTAGCGATAGGGGGTGAGTATGAAGCTCTGTAGAAAAATTCTCTCAAACCCATACAAGGTTTAGAAAAGCATTTAAAATGGTCGGTCTCAATTTTGACATAACATAGATACATAATTTGAAATCAAGCAGTGAAATTTAAAAAGGATGTCAAATTTATTTAAAAATATTACTTAAATGAATAAACGAGCACNGTCGGTCTCAATTTTAACATAACATAGATACATAATTTGAAATAAAGCAGTGACATTTAAAAAGGATCTCAAGTTTATTTAAAAACATTACTTAAATGAATAAACGAGCACCACATACAAATAATAACCATTAATTGTCATAACCATTTCCCAACAATTCTTTCGGTAGGTGGCATACTTTGTGATAACCTCCACCCCCTTTAGGTCACATTTGATTCTCAAGCATCTTTACCGGGAACCTCTTGAGAATGGATAAGTATCCATGCATGGAACCTCTCACCAATCACTACATTATTTTCCAAGCATCCTTAACGGAAACCTCTTGGAAAGGGGTGAGTATCCTTACAAGGAACCTCTCACTCATGTGCATCACAAACAACCCAACCAGGCATACAATTCCACCATTTATCTCAATTTACAAGCATCTATCCAAAATCCCCAAAATATATTATGTAACAATTCCACAACCAACTAAGAAATACATGAGATCATAATAACATCATTTTTCTACCCAACACAAAGCACTAAGGTTTCAAAATCTATAATAAAGAAATCATTTAGGAAGGAAATACATCACTCTCCAAAAATTAGGGTTTTAAAACTAGAAAGGAGATTTCATGGGTATTAAACCCTATTTTGTTCAAAACATATAATCCTTGCAAAAAGCCTAAGAGATGATGATTCCATAACATATATATAT